AGCCTAGCTCAGCTTAATTCAGCTCAATCAGCTCAGCTCACCCAGTACAGCTCAGCTCAACCAGCTCTGTCCAGCCGAGCCCTGCTCTGTCCAGTCCAGCTCAGCTCACCCAGCTCAACCAGCTCAGCCAGCTCACCTAGCTCAGCTCATCCAGTTCAGGTATGCTCAACCAGCTCTGTCCAGTCAAGCTCAGCTCACCCAGCTCACCCAGCTCACCTAGCTCAGCTCACCCAGCTCAATCCAACTCAGCCCAACTTAGCCCAGATCAGCTCCACTCAACTCAGCTCTTTATAGTCCAGCTCAGCCCAGCCTAGCACAGCTCAGCTCAGCTCAACCAGCTCTGTCCAGTCCAACCCAGCTCAGCCCAGCTCAGCTTAGCACAGTCCAGCACAGCTCACCCAGTTCAGCCTGGTTCACCCAGCTCAGCTCAGCTTAGCCCAGTTTAGCCCAGCTCAGCCCAGCTCAGCTCAGCCCAGCTCCACTCTGCTTAGCTCAGCTCAGCTCAGTTTAGCACAATCCAGCTTAGCTCACCCATTTCTTCCCAGCCCAGCTCAGCCTAGCTCAGCTCAGCTCAGCTCAGCTCAGCTCAATTAGCTCAGCCCAGCTCAGCTCAGCTCAATCAGCTCAGCCCAGCTCAGCTGGCTCAGTCCAGTTCAACTCAGCTCAGCTCATCCAGCTCTGCCCAGCCCATCTCAGCCCAGCTCACCTGCATCAGCACAGCTCAACCCAGCACAGCTCACCCAGCTCACCTGGCTCAGCCCAGTCTGGCTCAGTGCAGCCCAGCTCAGCCTGGTTCACTCAGCTCAGCCCAGTTTAGTTCAGCTTAGCCCAGCTTAGCTCAGCTCAACTAGCTCAGCCCAGCTTAGCTCTGCTCAGATCAGTTCAGCTCAGTTTAGCACAATCCAGCTCAGCTCACCCATCTCTGCCCAGCCCAGCTCAGCTCAGTTCACCTGGCTCAGCCCAGCACATGCCAGCTCAGCCTAGCTCAACTCAACTCAGCTCAGCTCACCCAGTTCAGGTCTGCTCAACCAGCTCTGTCCAGTCCAGCACAGCTCACCCAGCTCACCCAGCTCACCTGGCTTAGCCCAGTCCGGCTCAGCTCAGCCCAGCTCAGCCCAGCTCAGCTCAACCAGCTCTGTTCAGTCCAGGCCAGCTCATCCTAGCTCTGCCCAGCTCAGTTTAGCATAGTCCAGCACAGCTCACTCAGCTCACTCGGCTCAGCCCAGTCTGGCTCAGCTCAGCTCAGTTTAGCACAATCTAGCTCAGCTCACCCATTTCTGCCCAGCCCAGCTCAACCTAGCTCAACTCAACTCAGCTCATCCAGCTCTGCCCAGCCCAGCTCAGCTCAGCTCACCTGCATCAGCCCAGCTCAACCTAGCTCAGCTCATCCAGTTCAGGTATGCTCAACCAGCTCTGTCCAGTCAAGCTCAGCTCACCCAGCTCACCTAGCTCAGCTCACCCAGCTCAATCCAACTCAGCCCAACTTAGCCCAGGTCAGCTCCACTCAACTCAGCTCTTTATAGTCCAGCTCAGCCCAGCCCAGCTCAGCTCAGCTCAGCTCAACCAGCTCTGTCCAGTCCAACCCAGCTCAGCCCAGCTCAGCTTAGCACAGTCCAGCACAGCTCACCCAGTTCAGCCTGGTTCACCCAGCTCAGCCCAGCTCAGCCCAGCTCAGCTAAGCCCAGCTCCACTCTGCTTAGCTCCGCTCAGCTCAGTTTAGCACAATCCAGCTTAGCTCACCCATTTCTTCCCAGCCCAGCTCAGCCTAGCTCAGCTCAGCTCAGCTCAGCTCAGCTTAGCTCAATCAGCTCAGCCCAGCTCAGCTGGCTCAGTCCAGTTCAACTCAGCTCAGCTCATCCAGCTCTGCCCAGCCCATCTCAGCCCAGATCACCTGCATCAGCACAGCTCAACCCAGCACAGCTCACCCAGCTCACCCGGCTCAGCTCAGTCCTGCTCAGCTCAGTCCAGCTCAGCCTGGCTCACCCAGCTCACCCAGCTCTCCTAGCTCAGCCCAACTCAGCCCAGGTCAGCACCACTCAGCTCAGCTCATCACAGTAAAGCTCAGCTCATCCAGCTCACCCAGTTCAGCTTGCTCAGCTCACCTAGCTCAGCTCAGCTCAACCAGCTCAGCCCAGCTCAACTCCACTCAGCTTAGCACAGTCCAGCAGAGATCACCTGGTTTAGCCCAGCTCAGCCCACCCCACCTCAGCTCAGCTCAGCTCGGCTTGCCCAGCTCACCCCACCCAGCATGGCTCTACTCACCTAGCCTTGCGCAGATCAGGTCTGCTCAGCCTGGTCAGCTCAGTTCAGCTTAGTGGGCTAAGCTCACCCAGTTCAGTCCAGCTCAGCCCAATTCAGCTCAGATCAGAAAGCTCATTCAAGCTGGTTTCATCCAGCTCAGCTCAGGCCTGCACTGAGCAGCCCAGTGCAGTCCTGGATAGTCCAGAAAGCCGAGAGTCTCTGGCCAGAAAGGGTCAGGCCAGCAGAGCTGCGTGCCTCAGCTGCAACCATTCTTACCCACGAGTGCTGTACATTTGGGCTGGGCCCATGGTCAGTTCCTTACCAGGGCTTCTCCCTGACTTTCGTCCCTGGGTCGCCCAGTTCCACATCCTCAGTCCCAGCCCCTAAGACTATTTAATTTCTTAAACATCTTAAAAATATGTCCAGACAACTTGAAATCATTAACACATCTCCCAGGAATTTGAGGAGCATTGCTTCTGTGTGGAGAGGAGAGGTTGGGGTGGTCCCCGTGGTGCCTCTCCTCCCGGCACACACCCTGCAATCAGCCCCTAACTTTGACTACATCCCCTCTAAAGAAACATCATCACTAGAAATTGCCAAGAAATGAATTTTTCTGAATTCTCCACTTAGAATTCTGCTCTTCAGCACAAAGTTCTTTAGAAAGCATGGGCTACCTCCTCATGTGCAATACTGACCTAAAAACCAAAGCTGAGTTTACAACTTATGAAAAGACAACCGAAGCGTGGCCTTGTCTGAGTCACAGCATCAATGGTGGGTAGCATTTGGTCAGCACTTGCACCTTTTCCCTGGAATGTTCTTTAGGGAAAGTTAAATGTGAGTGACCTAGACAAGGGGTCACACAAACAAGCCTCTCTGCCCTCACTGAGCATCCATCATCCAAGATCCCCCTTCAGGTGGAAGCAAAACCTTCAGGCCCTCTGTCTGTCCCCAGCCAGCCGGCGGCAGGCAGCCGCTCTCTTACCATGTCTGCCTGGTCACTTGGAAGTTCTGTGGGGTCTTGCCACGCAACGATTTCTCCAAATCCACTACCCACACGATTCATGACTCAGGATAGCTGGCTGGGCTGGTGGCAGAAGCCAGGGCTACGTGCCCCCAGCCTGGGGCTCAGAGCCACATTCAGACCCTCCACCAGAGCAAGTTCAAGTCAGAAAATGGCCTCGCAAAGTGCCCGGCTCCTTCCTGACTCAGGTCCTCACTGGCTTCCTCTCGGTCCACCAACTGACATGCTTGACCAAAATAATTCAGGACAATTACCCTCGTTTCACCTAAAGGTGAAAGTGCTCTTAAAAAATACTTAGAAACAAAGGACACTTTATCAGAATATCAAAGTCTTTCTTCATCGTGAAGTTTAAACCCTGCAAGCAGTCATTGTAAAAACAGTGCTTTGGGGACAGAGAGTCAGTGTGAGATTAATTACCACTTGAAGGGATAAATTAATTTAAAAAAGTTATATGAACACACTGATAAATGGCCCCTAAGACTGTTTAATTTCTTAAATATCTTAAGTTCAAAATGAATATGAGTAGTTAGTAAGTTAAGACTGAAAAAATTAAACTCACATAGTTAAAAAAAGAACTTCCTAGTTTCTGTCAGCACCCCCACCTTATTTTAGAACTCAAATCATGCAGGTGTTGTTTTGCTCAGAGAAACACTTTTAGATTTGTGGGCAAAACTATCCGAAACCACTTCTTCATAACCATTAACCATAAATTTGCCATTCGTGTTTTCTTGCTTCCTAAAATAGACTGTGGCCACCCGCTTCCGGCCACCGGCTGCAGGTGTGCAGCCCCAGCAGCCATTGTTACTAGCTCAGCTCCATCCACTCAGAACATCCCTCAAGTAATTTAAAAAATAACCTTAATTTATTATTGTCAAAACTCAGCCATGAGTTTGAGGCTCACAGTTCTGACTTACCATTTCTTGGTCAAATTTGTACCACTATCAACTCCAGAAAGATGTGATTAATTAAATAATAAGATTTAAAAATGTAATATACATGAAAAGTATATTTTAAAGTAATAATTTTTTAAACACTTTCCAAAGGAGCCACTCCCAAGACACCCTGTCTTTCAATACTCAGTAAGCCGCTTAAGGGAGCAAATCGCTTTCTGTTAGAAGCTGCCTCCTGGGGCTGAGCTCTCCGGCTTTGGCTGCTTCTCACCTCAGAGGCCAGGCACCCACTGTCCCCAACACCGGGGCCATAGGACCCTCCTCACTGGACAGCACTTTTCCTAACCAATAAAAGCCTAAGTACAATTAAGCAGTTTTTAAATTACATTACATAAATGTAATGGGCTTGAAAAAAATCCAATCTAGTGCAGAAGTTCACTCCTAAGTCTGAGGACAGTGTCTTCCTGAGCACTCTGCTGTTCCTGGTTCACAATCACCAAGGCCAGGCACCCTCCTCACTGACACCCAAATCTGCTGGCAAGACTGTCCGGCTGCAGCCCCACCAGTCCTTGGCCCAAGCCCCAGGCCTCTCACTTCAAAGTGGCCCTTCAGGTTGGCAGCCCCTCTTTCAGGGGCTCAGTGCCTCCCTAGACATGCTGGAATTATGCCAGTTTCTGAAAAGCATCAGAAAATCAAGAGGCTCCGATGTCCCTGAGCCCCGGCCCCTGTCATCTCTGGCCAGCCTGCCCAGGTTCCCAGGGCCACGCGTCCCAAGGACCAACTGCTGATGCCCAGAAAAACCCACAGAGAGGAGTAGAAAAAGGAAGGCCTGAAAAGGCCATTCTTACCTGAGGAGACGGTGACCAGGGTCCCCTGGCCCCAGTAGTCTATACCATAATAATCACAGTGGTGCAAACTCCATCCTCACTCCACAAAAACCAGGGCACTTGCCCAGCACTGCCTGAGGCCACCCAGAGATGCACGCTGTCTCCAGGAGCCACATGGATGCCGACCATCCCAGTGACAGTGATCTGGAGGTTCCTGGGCCCCTCTGCCAGCCGTTCCCCCAACCTGATCCACAGGAGCCCGACCACTGGCTGCCTGGGGCCCCTGACCATGAGCCGACTGGGACTCAGAAGTCCAAGCAACACAGACACCCACCCAATCTCACAGCAGGTGCAGCAGAGTCCTTAGAACTGAGGGCAGGGCAGCCACACTGCCCTGTCTGTCCTCTCGCCGCCCAGCACATTTGCGAAGGGGAGGTCAGACTCCCTGGCCTCCTTTCCTGACTTTCAAGATGCCTTTCTGTCCCTGATATCCAGACCCTGACAACCCAGACTCCCCCAGGGAAGTTCCAGTGAAGGTGGGGAGAGGACTCACCTGAGGAGACGGTGACCAGGGTCCCCTGGCCCCAGTATTGAAACCACATTGTGGTAACCATGCTAGGATCCTGGACAAAAACTGAGGCCTCCAGTTCACCTCAGAAAACGCCCAGTGAGGGCAGAGGAGACAATGGGGCTCAGAGGCCAAGGGCGGCAGAGACCTCAGAAAGGTCCCCAAATGCAGAGTCCAGGAGGAAAGGGACCTGGACCCTCTTCTCCTCATCCCTGATGGTTGTGGTCCCCTCCCAGACCCTTTCTGAGTCCAGAACTGCCCCCAGTCCTTCTGAACCTGAGACCGAGACACCCTCATTTTCTCCCAAAATGTATCAAAAACCCTCGGAGAGAGAGAGGAGAAAGGGGTTGTGAGGACTCACCTGAGGAGACGGTGACCAGGGTGCCTTGGCCCCAGTAGTCAAAGTCATCACATTGCCATGGGCCCCGCTAGGCAGTGTACAAAAACCTGCCCCCCACCCAGCCACCTGCCAGCACAGCAAGCCCTGTCTCCTCAGGTCCCCGCGCCCCTGACACACAGCCCGCTCTGCCTTCCAGAGCACAAGCCCCAAGTCTGCACAGAGCAAGGACTCTCTGGAAATGTGTTTCCCAGCCTCAGGACAGAGGAAAAGAGAGGAAGCCGTCTTACCTGAGGAGACGGTGACCAGGGTCCCCTGGCCCCAGTACTCGAAGTAAGCATCACATTGCCATGGGCCCCATTAAGCAGTGTACAAAAACCTGCCCCCTGCCCAGCCACCGGCCAGCACAGCAAGCCCTGCCTGCTCAGGTCCCCGCGCCCCTGACACACAGCCCGCTCTGCCTTCCAGAGCACAAGCCCCAAGTCTGCACAGAGCAAGGACTCTCTGGAAATGTGTTTCCCAGCCCCAGGGCAGAGGAAAAGAGAGGAAGCCATCTTACCTGAGGAGACGGTGACCAGGGTCCCCTGGCCCCAGTTGTAGAAGTTATCACATTGCCATGGGCCCCGTTAGGCAGTGTACAAAAACCTGCCCCCCACCCAGCCTCTGGCCACCACAGCAAGCCCTGCCTGCTCAGGTGCCCATGCCTCTGACACACAGTCCTCTCTGCCTCCCAGAGCACAGGTCCCCTGTCCCAGACTAAAGGCCTTCTGCAGAGCAGCGACCCCAGTGACCCCAGCCCCCTGGGGATTCCTGAGGGCCCCACACAGAGCAACAACTCTCCAGAAAGTTCTTCCCCAGCCCCACAGCAGAGGCAGGCAGAGGAAGCCATCTTACCTTGGGAGACAGTGACCAGGGTCCCCTGGCCCCAGAGATCAAAAGCATCGCACAGGGACACAATCCCTGGCTGCCCTCAGACATAAACCTGTCCATGGCCACAAGGGCCTCAGAGGTGCAGGGCGGCAGGCAAGGACATCATCAGCTGGGAAGACAGTGACCGGAGCGCCCTGTCTACAGTGCTGGAAGTCACCAGCAGCACAGCCTCCTCCCTGCTGCTTCCCCCTCTCAAAATGCACCTCTCCCTCCTGTCCCACCTCTGACACCAAGCACTGCACCTGGCTTGGCACACCTGAGTCCTCCAACCCTGGCAGCATGCCAGACTCACCTGAGTAGATGGTGACCAGGTGCCCTGGCCCCAGTGCTGCAAGTAAGCAGAGGCACAGAGTGGGCCCTGAGCTACAGCCTCAGACACTCCTGCAGCTGGGGTCCTCAGGGAGCCCAGGGAGCTGCACACTCTGCTCTCCACTTGGGGACAGTCCCACTGGTGTCCCTGGCAGGTGTCCTCTGGCCTTAGTCCCCAGGTCTGGGTCTGGACATCCTCCCTGACGTATGGCTTGCTTTGGCCCCACAGGACACACTTCCCTGATCACCCTGCTGCCCATGCCACCCCTCCCCTGTGCCTTCGCCTGGAAAGCATCCCCACTGCAGGCTCCTACCCAACCTCCCTATGCACCTGGCACTGAGCCCTGGGGGACAGCCACAGCTGCCCTGGGGACTCTGACCAGATTTTTGTAGAGTTGTCAATCACTGTGGTCCCAGTTGCCACTGTGGTTCCTGGCTCAGCCAAAACCCCAAAACTGTAGTGGGGGGCAGGTTGGTGGAGGCTGATGCCCCACTGAGGGCCAGGTGGGTGGGCGGGTCACAGAGTAGAGGAGGTCCCAGCACCCAGGGCTGCATTTCCCTTTTCTTTAGAAATAACAGCTGATCCAACACCATGTCTGAGGCCCTCTCATGTACCTGCTCTGGCCCCCGAATTTGAGTTGTTCTTAGCTGGAGAAAGTTCTCAAGCCAGAGTATGGGGGACTGATGGAATCCCCAGTCCATCGCTGACCTGTAACACAGCCCCATGGGTCTGTCAGGGTCTCAGCCCGAGAGGCTGCTTTCTCTCTCTGGCCACATCTGAGGTGTGGGTTACATCTCGTTAATTCTACCTGTTCATTGTTCCCTGCAGGTGTGGGCCCCTGGGTCTCCACAAGGGTGGGTTCCCTCCAGGTCCCCTGGGGCTGCTGGCCCTTGGGGAAGGGTGTCAGAGGGGCAGTGCAGGGGGGGGCTATAGTCTAAGGGAGAGGGTCTCCCTTCCCCACACCAGTCTGGCTGCTCTCCCCTGACTCGGACTATGGAGATGAGGATGGTGGTCTGCATCCACACCTGTCAGACCTGGGGCTGGGTGCCAGGATTCAGAGGGGCACCAGGTGTGGGCCTTTGGGGAGTAGATGCACATAGATTCCCTTGGGCCAGGGGTCAACCTGGCAGGTGTGCTCAGGGACAGGCTACTGCTGGGGGAGGCTGTCATAGATGCAGCCTCAGGGCCTTGGGGACTGGCAGGGTGTGAGGGCACCCTGAACACTAGCTGGGGAAGGGTGAGTGCCTGGCATGTTGAAAAGTCTGTGTGAGTGTGAGTGTGAGCATGTGAGTGTACGTTTGTGCACCTGTGTGTGTGTTATAGGGTGCAGCCCTGAGGGGGACCCCAAATAATGATTTGGAATGGGGTCCAGAACTCAAGTGTCCAGGAAATATTAGAAAGATGTAAAGGATGTCCTCACTCCTTCCCCCCATAGGTGTGAGTTGGGGGAAAGGACACATGGATCAGGGGCATGTACAGATGTTTTGTACAGCAACAGCTCTGCAGCTAACCTCTGGCATGGTCATTTAACATATCTATAACCTTTAACTGGTTGCATAGATGTATGAAATAGCTGAGACCATGGTTGGAGCCAGGGGGATGGAAGGGACTTCCACCCAAGATGTAACTGGGGGGCAGGTCCCTGAAGTTACAGCACCTGCCTGAGAGCTTGGAGAAGTTTGGCTTCATGACATAGGGCCACACCTGCCCATACTCATGATGGCAGCCCAGTAAACTTGGAATAACACAGGAATGTTGGCAGGTGTAACTGATTGAAGGAGGAGTTGGAAATGGGGATACAGAGGAAGACTGGTGGGGGGATTTAAACCCCGATTTGGCAGCCATTGCAAGGAGGTACCACTCGGCTTTGCCAGAGTGGGGACCCCCACAACCTTGGTAGAAGAGGACCGTGCAGCTTTGGGGTGCTCCCTTTGGCTGCATGGCCTGGGAAGCAGGAGAGACCGCCTAGAAGAAGGGTGAAATAGGCCTTCTCCAGTAGGCCAGGAGAAGGTGCCACATGGCTTTGGATTAATTGGAGATCCTTGCTGGACAGCAACAAAGCTGACAGTGTCAGGAGCCTGAATCACGGACGTTAGTTTCTTTTCCTGAGTTACAGTATCCTGAATTAGGACAGGGGGAGAAGGAAGCACTGTGGGTGTCTTTGGGTATCCTAAAGGACTTTGATATTTTAATGAAGACATTAAGTCACTACTTTAACTCTGTATAGCTTTAAATAAATATTTCCTTTCTTTTTCACAGATCTCTGGCATTGAGAGATGTCTTTCCTCTGGCAGCAGATGAGCGAACCTAGTGGGGAGTCCTTTTGATAATAGTATACCGTACCCCCCTGGCCCTGTTCTGTAACATGTGTGCACATGTACATGTGTGCATGAGTATGTGCCAGTACATGTGTAACTGCAGGCAGAGGAACAGCTGAGTGAAGACCCAGAGGCTGGCAATGTGCCTAGAGGACTGAGGTGGTTTGAGGTGGCTGCATTCAAAGGTGCCCTGAGGGCCCAGAGGAGAGGATGAGCATGTTGGGGGCTTGCTCTAGAAGGTTCCTCCTGGTGAAGTGTGGATGGATTGGGGTGTGAAGGGAAGGAGGTCTGGGTGCCGACTAAGGGTTAGGGAACCCATGGGGATGGTGAGCAGAGCCACAGGGGCTCCCACAGGGGCAGGTGGAGCAGGGTCTCTGGGTCGTACTCCCAGGATGCTGTCCCTGGGTCTTGAGAGATGGGGAGATGCCCCTGGGGTTGGGGCTGCAGACAGAGTGAGGGACATACTCAGAGGTGTGGGAGCGAAGGTTGAGGTGTGGGTTACAGCCTCATGGCCCATCCCTCCCTTGCCTTAGGTGGTAATGGGGGAGGGTCAGGACTGCCCTCTCCTCCTAGGCTGGGGCCCTGCTCCCTGGGGGAGCATGGTGTCTCATGATGCCCTCCAGGGCTCATTTTGAGGTGGGAGTTGCTCATAGCTCACAGCAGGGCTTCCTCTAGCTCCCAGCCCCTCCCTGGAGGCTCTTCTTGCTACAGCCTCTGCTCTGGGGCCTCCTGTCTCCCTTTCAGGGAACAGGGCCTGGGGCACCCCAGCCCCTACAGGAAGCACCTGCCCTGGCTCTTCAGAGCTCTGGTTGCTGACTGGGGAGGGGAAGTGCCCACTATGCCCTGCCAGCCCCTTTCCTCCCATTGATCCCCAGTCCCCAGTCCTTGCCTCCATCCCCACACCCAGCCCTCATCTCCTAGTCCCCACCCCC